AGGCAGGGAATAGATGGGGGGCAGGGCCAGTCAGAGGTGGTATTTGCCGGTTCTCTGAACTATTCAAAATTTCCGCTACTGGTTCTTCAGAACTGGTCAGAACCTGCTGAATACCACCTCTAGCTTCTATGGGTTTGGCGGCTAACATTATGGCTGGTTCGGAGAAACTCCAAATCCCACCCCTGGCTGGCCCTGCCCACCACACCCCTCCCCCTCCCAGGAGTCTCCACGCGGCCCATTTTGGATGCGACGTAAGTGCAGGGCCCTCATGGAAGCTTAGGGAGGGGGGGGGGAAATGGGCCTGCCGGAAGGCCTCCGGAGCCTGGGGGAGGCAGTTTTCACCCTCCCAGAGGTTCGAGGAAAGCCTCCAGAGCCTGGGGAAGGCGAAAACGATTCCCCACCCCTCATGGTGACTAGGCCATGCCCACCATAGCCACGGCCACCCAGCAACCGAACAGAGAAGCCGTTGCTGAAACTTTTGAAGCCCACCCCTGCCTACGGTCTGCCCCATCCCTTGCTGGACTGGACTGCTGTGGGATCTAAAAGCCCAATCAGCTAATACTGCAGCCCCCCCCCCCTTTGGGTTCCAGGGACCAGTTCTGTGGGGAAAGTTTTTTCTGTGGACCAGCGGGGAGGTATAGTTTCACATGCCACCTACATCCTGCAGATGGGACTTCACTTGTTTGCGCAGGCCAGTTTCTGCCATGCCGTGGCCCTGGTGCCAGTCCACAAACCGGGAGCTGGGAACTTCTGAGCTAAAGTCTGATGTCAGAGGGATAACTTTTGATGGTGCACCTCTGTGCTCGGCTCTAAATTCTGCCCTAAAATGCACCTCCAGGAGTAATCCTAATAATTTCAGAGAGCCATCTTGAAAGCACAGTTAGCCCTCAAACTTAGAAACGTAATTAAGCCTGGAATTACGCTTGTAGGTCGTGCGGTTTAGGAAGCGAGTCTTTTTCCTTAAAGGATTTTTTTCTGTCCTATCTGCAGCATAAAACTGCCTTTAAACCCAGATGTCCCAAAAGTCTTTGCAGCGATGCCTGAGTTTTACGTGGAAGACATTGCGGAATTTTTGTTTTTTATTGTACAGTAAGTAAAACAAACAAAAAACTTCATTTCTTGTGGATTGAAATGTTCTGGGGTAGCCTCCTCAGGGGAGAAACCACGATGAACTGTCACTCCGGATAGTGAGATGGGCGGCATATACATTTAATTCATAAATAAAAATAAAGAAAAGCAAGGAGTTTATTATAGTCTGCTTCCTTGATCCCCAGTCCTCCTTTTCGGGGGGGATATTCTTTAGCAGTTTGGCCGACATTGGCGGCCTGTTTCTCCAGGTTTGCTTCTAACCATGTTGTTTGGGGGCAAGAGGCTGACTCTGTAAACCGCTTAGAGAGGGATGTAAAGCACCATGAAACAGTATATAAGTCTTAAGTACTGTTATGGATGGAGGATGGATAGATAGATAGATAATAGAGATGATGGGTAGATAAGTAGATGATAGATAGATGATGGTTAGATGATGGAGGGAGAGGAATGGGTGGATGGATAGATAGATGATGGGTGGATAGATAGATAGATGATAGATGATGGTTAGATGATGGAGGGAGGGACAGGGATAGATAGATAGATGATAGGTAGATGATGGATAGCTAGATGATGGATGGATAGATAGATGATGGGTAGATAGGTAAATGATAGATAGATGATGGTTAGATGATGACGGATGGATGGATGGATAGATAGATGGAGGGATGGAGAGAGAGAGAGAGAGATACATGCATGTATGCTGTGATGGCGCAGTGGTTAGAATGCAGTACTGCAGACTAACTGCCCACAGCCAGGCGTTCGATCCTGACTGGCTCAAGAGTGACTCAGCCTTCTGTCCTTCTGAGGTCAGTAAAATGAGGACCCAGATTGTCAGGGGCAATAGGCTGACCTTGTAAACCACTTAGAGAGGGATGTAAAAGCCTTGTGGATCTATAAGTGCTATTGCTATATGATGGGTTGGATGCCATCTCTCTCCACTTTGGCCGTTGATCCTTGTCAAGCCTTCCTCCGTCGTTCCTTTCTCCCCGCTCCCCCTCTCCCCGTTTTGCAGATACTCGCCTCAGGTACTCTACGAGCCTTGCACTCAGGAGCTGGTCACCTTCTTGGTGGTCATGCTCTGCAACCAGGACTACATCCGGAACCCTTACCTGGTGGCCAAGCTGGTGGAGGTGATGTTCATGACCAACCCAGCCGTCCAGCCCCGGACTCAGAAGTTCTTCGAGATGATCGAGAACCATCCGCTCTCCGTCAAGTTGCTGGTTCCTTCCCTGATGAAGTTTTACACAGGTTGGTGAATGCCCTGGACGGATGTGCAACCAGTTGTGCCGCTCGGGCAAGGGAGCCTTGCATGACAACAACACAGTTGGTCCTTGACTTACAACTCTTTTAATTTAGTAACCTGTTCTGGCCTAGGCTTCCCCATAAAGCAGGAGGCAGAGTCCCGGTCCCGACAAAACCCCTTTTATTAAAGGAAGGTGAATTCCTCTCCTTCGCATTCAGCAAACGCCTGGCAAACAGTCTTTCAAAGGAGTATTTATGACCACAGACCTTATCTATCTTGGTTTTTGGCACTGCTGCGTGCACGAAGGACAGCTAATCATCGTGCACGCATGCCGCCAGGAACCTGCAAGACAAACAGGCAGGGGCGCGTGTTTGTGTGCCAGGCGACATGGCTTCGCGTGCCACTTTGGGCACGCGTGCCACAAGCTCACCATCATGGGTTTAGTGTGTTTTGCGAAGATGGCCGCTCTATGCTTACTCTGGCATGGGGAGACTGAAACTCTTCTATTCCCCTCAGATGTGGAGCACACTGGGGCCACCAGCGAGTTCTACGACAAATTTACAATCCGCTATCACATCAGCACCATCTTCAAAAGCTTGTGGCAGAACATAGCTCACCACGGGACCTTCATGGAAGAGTTCAAGTGAGTGTAATGCTGACATATAAGCTTGTTCTGGATTGGACAGGTCACTCATCATGAAAAAGAGGCTGGATGGACACCACATATCTGGGCTGGATGCATCTCTTAAGGAAGGACCAATAATTTTTAAAGTGATACAGTGGAAAAGTCAGTATAGCGATTGTACCATAGAGAGGTGGGTTTTNCTCTCTGCCTCCGACACAGAGCCCTCATCAGAGCCTTCCCCAGACTCCAGGACTGGCCCATCTTCCTCCCCAACCTCCTCACTGTCTGAGTCTGCCACCAGCTCCCCTGGCTGCTGACGGGCCACAACACCCACTTCGGCTTTGCTTCCCGATAATCTCCTGCGGTGTTGTGGCCTTGTGTGAGTCCCAGCTCTTTCTGGATCCAAGGTCAAGCATTTTTGACACTGGGAGAACTCTCCCGGGAGTCATTTCTGGTTGTGGCCCTCAGATCGAGACCATGGTGGGACTCAATTTCATTGTATTTATTTTATACAATGACAATAAAAACTATACTATGCTTGGTGGGTTTTGAGCAAACAAGGGGATGGGTTCATGTTGCTGGTTCCTGGCTTCTTGTGTTGTTGCTTCTCTCCCACACCTCTCCCATGCTGCGTTTTCTCTTCCGTTGCAGGAGCTTGGACCACGGCTGGCCGCGATGCTGAACTTCAACCTTCAGCAGCTGTGCGGCCCCAAATGCCGCGATCTGAAAGTCGAAAACCCCGAGAAGTATGGCTTTGAACCAAAGAAGCTTCTGGATCAACTGACGGACATCTACCTGCAGCTGGATTGCGCCCGTTTTGCAAAAGCGATCGCGGACGACCAGGTGAGAATGGGGGACCCAGGTGTTAGCTGAGAAGGTAAAAAGCGTAAGGACACCTTTTACGATCCAGTCAGTACCTCCTCGTCTCTCGGGTTTTGGAACTTCCGAGAGGGAGCAGAATTCACAGAACCCAAAATACACAGTAATACGCATTCCTCGTTTTGTCACCATTCACAATCATCCTGAAAAAAATTACGATCAGCCCTCCCATTTATGACCTTCGTAGGCGAGGCGGTTTGGGTGTGGCTGGTACTTTATGAATGTCCCCCATTCGGCAAATCTCTGCTTCTTTTCCTTGACTGGGGGGGATTTGAATGGCCCTATGCCCGTGATGGCGAAACTATGGCACACGTGGAGAGCTCTCTCTGTGGGCCCTGGCGCCAGCTGCTCTTCTGGTTTCCGGCGCGCACATGCACAGCTGCTCTTTGTGGGCACCGGAAAAGGTCTGAAAACGACACCAAAACAACCAAAAAAACCAGGCCATTTTCTGGGCCGTTTTTCAGGCCGTTTTCAGGCCAAAAACAGTTCTGAAAAATGGCCAAAAAACAGGCATGCACGCCTCAGCCAGCTAGTCTTCGGGTTTCTGGTGCTTAAGTGCACATGACGACCAGCTGGCTGGCGTGACTGCGCCTGCTGAAAACCTGAACACCAGCTGGCTGGTGCATGCAGGCATGTTCCTGTTTGGCTCATTCGGTGCTGAAAAAGTTCACCATCCCTGCCCTCTGCCCTACTTGATTTGTTACCATGGAATGTCTTTTGAAGAAGCACAAGAGGGGAAAGTATTCCAATATTTGAAGGGCTGCCACGAAGAATAGGGGTTCAAATTATTCTCCAAAGCACCAGAAAGCAGGACAGGAAACACTGGATGGAAACTAATCAAGGAGAGAAGCAACTTGGAATGAAGGAGAAACTTCCTAACGTTCAGAACAGTTCATCAGTGGAACGGCTTGCCTTCCAGAAGTTTTGGGTGCTCCACCAGTGGAGATTTTAAAGAAGAGAATGAACAACGACTTGTCTGAAAGGGTCTCCTGCTTGAGCAGGGGGTTGGACTAGAAGACCTCGGCGGTCCCTTCCAGCTCTATTCTGATTGGATTGGAAAACATCCAATTATCGTGAAGAATCTCAAAAAGAACACACTCTTTTTTTTTTCACTTCCTCCTCCTTGCGGTGCTTTGATTCAGGATTCACTGCACTGCAGATAAATCTCGATCACTTTTGGAAGCAGGCAGATGTGATGGAGCAGAGAGCAGTCGTGGGTGGGCGGGCCCTGCCCGCTTCAATTGATTTATTCCTTCCGCTATCTGAGACTCAGAAGAGCAAAAATGAACTGAAGGTCGAATCCCTTTGGGGTCCCTAAGCTGGGTTTTGGCTGCAGCATCCTCAAAAAGCTGGCCAGGTTTTTCCACTTCTTCCTGGTGGATCTGCTGGCTGCGTTGCAACTTAAGTAGGCCTTTCTGCAGCAATGCTGCATTTAGCTGGCGAGCTCCCAGCAAATTCTGGCTTCCTTCTCCTGCAGGAGCTTTGCAAACTGACCTAAGAAGAGAGCCAAAGATGATTCTGATAGCTTTGTCTACAGAAGAGCCCTCTGAGGAGTTAACTCCTTATAGGAAAGTCAGAATTGCTCAAACCCAGCTGTCTTTTCTTGAGAGGGATGGATTCTTTCTAACTGGATTCCTCTTGGCTGGCAGTTCGGCTGGCAATAAATATCCTTTAACTGCTGTGTGTCCTGACCGAGGCTTCCCAAGAGCATGAAGTAAACTCCTTGTCCCGGCAAAAAACCCTTTTATTAATTGACTGTGAATTCTGCCCATTCACATCCAATGAAGTCTTTTGAGGGAGGATTTACAGTCACAGACCTCATCTGGCTTGGAGAGCTGCCAGGCCGAGACCTGCAAAACTTGGCAAGGAGCCTCGGAGAGTCACGAACCAATTAAGCTAATTAATTGTCTCCTGCAACCTCCACTCCCCTTTCGCTCCTCTTTTATTTCCTCTGGGAGGGGCCATTCAATGTCCACCTGTGGGCTTCCTCCCAAGTCGACCCCTGTTCCTTAGCTGTTCCCTTCGTGTGGCAACTCTGCACACGCGCATACTGGGAACAGGCTCCAGCTGTTCATCTGCCTCACTGATGCCTGACTCCGAAGGAATCTGATAACTGGCCCCCTCTCTTCCTCCGACACAGAGTCCTCATCCCCAGACTCCAGGACTGGCCCATGCTCCTCCCCAACTTCCTTACTGGCTGCTGGTGGGCCACAACTATGTTTTTTGTGGAATCCTAGAGAGCTCTCTCTAGCGTGTGCTGAAACACTTGCAAACAGCTAAGCCCTTCCTCCTGGGTGTGGAGCGCACAACTCCCATCAAAAGCAACACATTCCTGGCCCTCAGGTCATTGCTAAATTGTCAGAAACTTGAGTTGTTGGGTGATGGTTAGACCAGGGATCCTCCCCTTTGCATTCTCTCCAGAAGAGCAAATTAAAACAAGAATGAATAACCGTAAGGCATATGAAGTGGTTTACTTCAGTGTGGTAAAATACCTAAGTGGAAGAACAGTGCCCTCAAAGCACTGTGCGTCTTTCTGACTGTATGGTACGGGCAAGAGTTCAGGTTTGTGGTTAGGAAGCTAGACTTCGAGACAGAATCCAAAATACAAAAATGGATCTATTTTAACATTGCTCTTGCTCTTGAAAAAGCATCTCATTGCAGAAGAGTAAACAATTTTGAAGATCGATATAGCCAGACAGTTAGACTTGATTTTAGATATATTTAGTCGGCTTTAAACATTTAAATTAATCTAACAAAAATCATTTTGGTTTCCCTGGGGCCAGATTTTTTAAGAACCGTGTCTATATTTTACTGTATGTATTTATAAAAATTGTGCTAATTGTGTATGGTTTTCTCCTCAGTAGTTGCTCCATGAGGGGATTGATTTCTGCTTGATTGTTTGTCTGGGATTAATCCCTGCTTATCTGGCTGTTGGAGAGAAGGCATTCTGATCTTTTGGTTTCCTTCTTAGCTTTTTTAACTACATCTTTGGAGCAGTATGTCAATGTGGTTTATCACAATGTGTCCATTGATGGCTGATTGTCTGAATGCCAGATTTCCAGGAGTTTATGGATCCTTAGTTTAGGATGCTCACAGTTTCCCCGTTGAAATGCCTAGTTGAGTCTGTCCATGCGTTGAGAGATCGTGTTGTCATCCTGTCTTCTGACTACCGAGTTGGTGTTTCATCGCTTTGGTGGGCTTTCACGAGCTTTTGGCTTTGCAGAGGTCTTACAGCAAGGAGCTATTTGAGGAGGTGATTTCGAAGATGAGAAAAGCCGGCATCAAGTCGACCATAGCGATAGAAAAATTCAAGCTGCTTGCGGAGAAAGTGGATGAAATTGTTGCCAAGAACGCCCGCGCCGAAATTGATTACAGTGATGCCCCGGATGAGTTCCGAGGTAAGCCGAGTCCTTGTTAGGATGTAGTGAGCTAATTTCCAATGAATAAAAGAAGGTGGTGTGATTTTTAATCAGTTGTTAAAAACCAGTTAATCAGCGCCCCTCCCCAACCTTTGGGGCAGTAGGGACCGATTCCATGGAGAAAAGTTTTCCCATGGACCGGAGTGGGCGTGATTTTGTGTGCTGCCTGCATCCTGCGGATGGGACTTCGCTTGTTTGCACAGACTGGTTTCTGGCATGCTGCGGCCCGTTGCCGATCCACTGATCCAGGCTGGGGATCCTTGATTTAAACCCTCTGTGGGTATGGCCCAATTTATTTTTGATCCTTCTATCTTTAAAACTCAGTTGACAAGTGAATTATGTTCCTTCAGATCCACTCATGGATACTTTAATGACCGACCCGGTCCGGTTGCCGTCGGGAACCATTATGGATCGCTCCGTCATTCTGCGTCACCTTCTCAACTCCTCCACGGATCCCTTCAATCGCCAGACACTAACGGAAAATATGCTGGAGCCAGGTAGTTGGGGGAGAGTGGGGTTTTCAAACCCATATTTTGAAATCTTTATAATCCTTCACGGTTTGGGGTATTCTCCCAGCTTGTTTCTCCCATGGAGACCTCTCACGGGAGCTCAATTACATCATCAGCACATGGGGAGTGGTGTATGTGAATCATTCCTCTTCCCTGCAGTGTATTTTTTTAAAAAAAAAATTCTTGGAGTTTAAGGGTTCTGTGTCAGGGTTCCAAGAAACTCACCCGTAGCAATCAAAACTCCAAGGCTATTGAATTCCTCAAATACTAGATTTATTGGATATGTCATATTGGCACGAGCTGGTGAAAACTGACTCTAAATGTTCCTGCGGTTTTCACCTAATTAAAATTAAAGTTCTTTCCCTTTCTCCAAACAACCATACAGTCCAATCAGGATACAGTCTGGTTGCTAAATGACTCCGGTCTCCTCCTCCTGGATACCTGGTGGAAATGTCCTTGGTTCCCAAGAGAAAGTATTTTATTTTAGCTGCAACACCCCAGCTATCTCTACTTCTCCCTCCCTTTCCCACAAGTCCAGGTCAGTTTCAGGATTGACATTCTTCCCCCCTCCATTTTTGTTTTTTAGTGCCTGAACTGAAAGAGCAAATCCAAGCTTGGATGAGGGACAAGCAGAACCCGGATCACTGAGGTTACCCCCGGCAGCACACGCCGAGGTCAACTGCGGAGAGCAAGGCAGCGGATCAAGGCGAGGGAAATGCCAAAACCGTGGGGAGTTGAAGCCGAGTTGGGGCTCACGCAGTGCCTGCTGCCGCCACCACAAAGGACCGTGGAACCTTCTGGGCGAGGCAAAGGGGAAAGAGGCACCACACCGCCAAACGCAGCTTAACTCTCTCTTGTACATAACTTTTAAGCGATACATCGGCAGTCGATAGCATTGTGGGTGGGATTCAGTTAGCAAGTTCCTTTTTTGTTCTGAAAAAAAAAACACAACCCCAAGACTCCTCCATTTCATCGTTGGGGTTCATAAACGGTTGTATTCGGTTTAGCTAACGACGAGGATCGGGTCGTTGGGGGTGTGTGTCTGCGTGTGTGTCTGCGTGGTTTTTAAAAAAAAAACAATATATTGCCAGATCTCCGTTAATTTGATAGTGGTTGAAACTTTGAACATTTTGCTGCTAAGGTAACACCCCCCCCAAAAAAAAATCCTTTCATTTTTCTCGTCACCTCTGCACAATCCCGTCTCCCGGTTTCTGTTTATTTTATTTTCTCTCTCCTTAATGTGAAGAAAAACCTTCCCTGTATATGGAAAAAGATTCCTTCTTATGTCCTAAAGGGGACATAATTTTGAGAAAAGCAAATGTGCCTGCGACGAGTATTAAAAGGGGGAGGGGTGGGTTGGAAGCGGATCTTATTTTTCTATTAGACAGCTTTTTAAAAAAATTTAATTTGGTGAGCCACCCCCAAGAAAAGTAACTCACAATCCTATAGCAACTTTCATTCTCCCACCTCCCCCTTTGTCGACACGTTGAAATTTTACGTTGTTTGACGTGTCTCTTTACATTTCGAGGAGAAACTTCATATCCCCCATGTTGTTGTTGTTGTTATTATTATTTTAATTTTTTAGGTTGGTTTTTCTTCAGAGCCTTGTATTATAGGTCGGAACAGCTGCCGTAAAGGAATTGGAGTGGAATATGGGAGGGGGGGAGTTCATTGACTTAAAAGATATATAGAGAGAGCTATATATATATATATATATAATTATACATATATATATAAAAAAACTTTTAAAGTCAGAGATCTTATAAGCTGAATGGTAATGATTCTCTGTCTTCTAAAAGTGCGTCTCTTGGGGAAATGAGGGTTGGGGGTGTGTGTGGAAAAGCAGATTGTTTTATTCTCGGCGCGCCTCCCGAGTCGAAGCCGACGGATTCATTTTTATGTTGCGTACCAGTTTTTATATCCATGGCTTGGCCTTACCAAAGCAAAAAGGGTGCAGAAAAAAAAATGTAGACTTGCTTTTTTTTTAAAAAAGAAACTATATAAAAAAGATGAGACATTTTTGTATGACTGCCCTCTGCTTAAA